TTTTTGAATAAAGCCTTTGAAACTTGAACATGTGTTACAGTATAAACATTTTTACGCATTGAGACGTTTTGTGGTTGTTGAATTTGAAGTGATTTAGAAGATAATGTTTTTTTTCTTACAGCTTCAAGGCAGTCTACTGTTATATAGAAAGGCCTTAGATACATTTCAGAGATAAAGCTCAGACATAACATTTTATTGGGTTTTATTATTTCGAAATTCTCAGTACGATACTTAATTTGAAACTGTGTCTTCGGCAACTGTCAGAATGTATGAGTGGGTGTAACATTTACGAGAACCTACGTCTTCGCCTATGAAAATCTAAATAAAAGGTCACGTCTTAGAGGTCTTGTTTGATTTGCTCTAGGTATATATTTTTCACTTACAATATTTTGGGACCCTCTCAAGAACATATAGTTATGTACATAGATCATAGGTTGTTTACGAACTTCTTTTCCAAAGAGAAGACCGCTACTATCATGTAGTTCAAACGCCTACAAATCCTAAGGTTCACATTTAGGTACATTTTACTAGCTTCTGCCAGGGGCTTCACCTTCAGCTTCTACCATATGTGTTATTCCAACCCGTAATCTACCCCTGTTCTAAATTACATCCCGATCCCTTCAACCATTTTGACGTGACGGAGTAACAAACACACATACAAACTTTTCGAATTCATAATGTTAGTAAGATGCAGTTCCATTGTTCAGATTTGTCGCGGAGAACCTAACGGGTAACCGGGGCTCCGACTCGACGTGCAGGAGAAGGAACGGGGTGGTTTTTAGTCAGTAAGAGTCTGACACTCCCTCCCGCCTCACCCAGGCGGGAGCAGTCATTCGATGATTTCCCCCCCCCCCCCAAAAACCAGATTTATCAGTGCTAAACGACTTGAGATATCCAAATCACCTACCAGGGTGGATATTATGGCAAGAGCTCCATTATTGAGAAGGCCTAAGTTAAGTAGTGAACTCCAATGAACCGTTGACGACAGCATCAGTTGATTAAAACCAAAAAAATTAAAAATAAACTATGTATGTATATAGGATGTAACCCTCTCTAGTTAGTGCTTAATTTGTCACCCTTACTGCGTTATTTACTAAACGAGATTGGCATGAACAAGTTCCGATTTGAAACAGTAATTCACATGTAGAATTTTGCTCTGATGCAACGCAACATGTAGAATACAAATTAACCGTGTCGACATTCGGTTAAACTCACACAATCTGCATATTAATCCAAATATAGGTAGATACGAATTCTAGTAACAAAATTTGAGGAGATAGAAATGTCGAGACACATTAAAGAGTATGACCGTACCTACTCAAATATCTGAAATATCTACTTGGCTAGGTATACTTCTAATTTATATACCTAGGTAGATAGGCACTTATAATTTCATTAAACTCATACTTAAATTACAGAGCCTAGGCACCTATCAATTAATACATAGGTGGTACCTACCTGGTACTTTAATATTTGTAACACATTGTTACGTAGTAACTGAACATTTCAATGTTTATTTCGGTACTTTATTTTTTAACCGATTTGGTTTTTTTTATAGTTATCATTACCCCGATGGTAGCAATCACAGAAATATTAAAAAACCTTCTTTATTATATCTATGGTAGCAATTATGATGGCTAACCTACTTCACCAATTAAGAATATTCTATGAGTTTTGCTAGAATAAGACTGCCTCATTGGTCGAGTGGTTGCAAGTGCGATTGCCGGGCAAGGGGTCTCGAGTTCGATTCCCGGGTCGAATTTTCTATTTTGTAGTAAGTTTTTCATAATTTTTTGGTTTGAAATTACAGGTATGTATTAATTGAGGCCTCCGCTGCCTCAGCAGGTATATAATAGGATCTCTTGATACTACCTAGTTATAATATTCTTTTTTTATTACGTAGGTACTACGTAATAAATAAATATTATATAATGATAAAAGTAAAGATAATCTACTTGCCCACTAAAATATCATCGTTTTCCGCAAAAATCGCATTAAATGGACAAATAGCGATAAAGCAGGTAATTTAGATAGGGGAATGGATACAAATGTAAATAAATCTCGCGGTCGCAATAAATAACGTCGCATTGGCAACCCCAGCTGGTAAAACCCACCATCGACCAAGTGACCATCGCTTCCTAGAAAATATTTACAGACGATATAGAAATATTCATTATAAAAAAATAATTTGATGACAGCTGTTACGTAGAAACCTAAAAACCAAACTAAGAAAATGATATCCACCTATACTTTGTCTCTGCATCACCCACAGAAATATTAAACTGTACCTAGATATTATATTTTTTTTTTTCTTTGCAGGGCATCGGAACAGGATGACGGTACCCACTTACATAAAATCTGATATATTGATATTGTTTACCTACCTACTAATACAGCATAATAATCTCAAAGATTTTTCATAGCATTTTCATTCGCGTAGTCCATTTTTTTGCGTTTGGACTACGAGTGTAATTATGATCTAAATTAACATAACATAACGCATTCTATCTCCGAAGGGGTAGGCCGAGGTGTACATTATGCCACTGTACAATGTAATACCCACTCTTCACTATTTATGTTATGAGTCCCATGTAATAAGGGGTAAGCCTATTGCCATATACCGGGCACAATTCCAGACTCCATGCTACTACTGTGAATTTTTGAAAAACCCAGTAATACTTTGCCAGTCAGATCTAAATTATGTTATTGTAATAATTACCTATTATTAAGAAAGTTGGACTAACAATTTTGATTACAAAGTTAGTTAAGCCATGCTAAATAAATCCTACGTTAGAATGAAACACGTATGAAACAAACTGCCGCGTCTTTTATGTTCGTACCCCGCCCTTTACCACCTTCCCTGAAACGAATGAAAAGCTAGCTCAGTTCTACCGCGAATAGAGAAACTACTGGAACTCGAATACATAAATATCTATTTAATTTTATCGATTCAGAGAAATAACTCACATCTATGTGTGAATTAATAAAGTAACTACATAATTGTATGGATATGAGTTATGCTATAACAGATTTTTTTTAAACTGTCAAACACCAAGCGGTCACCGGTGACCGCGACCTATTGTTCTTTAATTGTGTCTATAAAACCGGTACTCGACGAGTTAAAGTAGGAAATCATCAAATTATTTGCCCCTCCCACCGTGTATGAAGCCACAGAGTGTAAACTGCGGTATAAGGCTCTTTCTAAGTGACTCCACCCCATTCTAACTCCTGCATGGTGCCAGATTAAAACGTAGTTTAGAAATTTTTAAACAGCATCACCATTTGCTTTGTTTACCACCGACGACAGCTACCTTTTTCGACATAAACAACAAAACAAAAAATCATGCAGAATCTTTCTGAATACAGCTACACAATCTTTCCGGACACCTTTCAAACAGCGTAAAAAGATGTCCGGTTAAGATAATGATCTCTACTGAATATTGTCCCTTTATACTGACGGGGTTCGAGGCGTCGATACTCGTATACACGCCCTGCTCTATACATATAAGTACGTTGGTCGGTCGGGACTCGGGACGGAAGCGGCGCATCCAATTTTGCGTTCATATTATCTCTGTTGTTGCAGCAACCCAGCTTCGGCAGCTTCCCTCAAATTAAAATCTGTCTTTACAAAATACTTCGTAAAATATAATTAACGTTTGACAAGCATGTTTAATTACGATCAAGTTTTGTTCTGGAGATTAACTAGAATTGATTCGACGTTTACGATAGTGTACTTTATTAGCATGTTTGTAGGACTTAATAAAACACGATGTAAAAATCCAATAAGGATCATAATTTATTTAAAAAATGATATATTACACTTTACAAATTGACCGAACTCGTGTTAATGTGGCGGTGGAGCATCCCATAATATCCGATAATTTAAAATTTCGAGTATCACAGTTCTCTTTTATGTAATGATGCTATTTCTTGATAAAGAACATCCAAAATAAACTACCCTTTGGTACAAATGTCCACAAAATCGTAAGACATCGTAGAACCGTGATGAAGCGTATTTTCGTGATATAACATCATTAATGATGTCAAAATTTAAAATATCCATTAGAGTCAATGGAGTCAATAATGACAATACTAAAATTTTATATAAATGTCTTTATTAAATTCATTAGGTCCACAAAATGTATGAGCATTCCTGGATACATTATTCTATTAATAATATATTTTAATATCTATCTCTGTCGGGTTCATCCAGCCACATTAACAGCCGCAGTGACCGATGCGTAAAAGCATCCTACACATACATTCCATTGGTAATAACTATAACATTCTAATAATATGTACAATTTTATTTACAACATGAAACTCACGATTTTACTGCCATTTTGAATAAGACACATATGTGATAATAAACCCATGTTATATTGCTTCAATACATTGTTATGTGTAAGACACAAAATACCAAAATGACAGGAAAACTGTTCGTTTGGGCCGACACATATTCACGTTCTTAGTTCAACAAACTTTGTTACAAATCAGCAAGACATGGCTGTAATGCATCAACGAAAATGCCTTTGAGAATTAATGGAGACATGATATGACATTAAAAATGTTGATGAATGTTAAAATGTTCTACTATAATTACAGGACTTCTAAATATACTCGTTCAGTTTTTTATAAGATTCATACAGATTAACAATGTATTCTGTTTCTTACAAACAAAATTATTCGCATACAATAATGCAGTAACTATGCGCTCGCAGTGAGTCACTGGCGAGCTCGTGAGATCATTAACATCGCATCTCGTGTTATATTATACTGACGACATGACTACTTACCAGGCGGAATCGCAATACAAAATCATTGGACATGATCATTATATGGTATAGTAACAATACACTGGCTTGGTACCATTAAATTAAACACAGAAATTAATATCATAACAGCACATGCTTGTGTCCATTGTCTACGACGAACCAAGTTCCTGACTTTGAACGTCAAATGTGGCCACAGTCGACCAGACGAAATGCATTCTTTCTTTACTAGCTGTGGTTATTGGCATTACTGTACAGCACTGAGTTGTTCACTCTCTTCATACTAATAGAGGCACTGCTTCCGTTTTTCTCTAATCCCACTAAAAAGTCTTCCAAAAGTTTGGCGAGAGCCTTACGCTTGAACCTTAGAGATTCATTTATGACCTCGCGTATCACTTCCTTTTTCACATCCACACCACCTTGTAATTGTTTTAAATGTTCAAACAGCTTTGAATAATCTGTAAACAAAAAACAAGGTTATCGAAAGAAATAAAACGTTTTATTTTGCTCTAATTCTGTTGAATGAGTACCAAACGATAACGCGATAACGGTATCAACTACTAAGCGTCAGACGTAAAAACAAAATGTTTGTTTATTTGGGAAATACAACTTTATCTACGTTCTGTAATCGCAGAATGTATTTTTACTACAGTTTGTGTAAAGTTACAAACTTATTTTTAAACAGATAATCTGTGAGGATTTGATGATCGAACAATATTATTATGTATTTACAGCAATGATACTTTCATTCAAATTAATGTTTTATAAGCTTATCATCGTCAATGATGCATATTCTAATTTCCATAACATAAATAGATAATTAATAGATGATACATGATAGAAATCAACAATAATAAAGTTGTGTTTTTTGTAGAAAGTGCATAATAAATTGCTGTTTACCTTTGCCAGGTCGTCGGACCGCGCGAAAGACTTCCGTCCGTACATCTAAGTTGTGCTTCTTTATGTCAGCGAGCTCTTTGCGCGTCAACTGAGGCGGCATCGTCAACTGTATTTTATCGTTCTGTAACAGAGGAAACATCTTAGTATATCAAGTTTAAATAATGAACAATATGGTGTAATTTTAATGAGGTAATTTGTTCTGCACTACATCGGGGGTTCCTTTAATACAAAGAAAGCAATTTTTCAAACTGAGAAAAGCGTAATAATGGTAAAATCTGAAATAGTGCTTTTGATACTAGAAATAACCTCACTTCTTTCAGTGTAACATGGAACATTTAGAGAATAACTGGTTACCTACTGTATTATGGGTGGTATATACATAAATTGTCGTTCAATAAATAAGTTATTTTATGTTATGAGTCCCATAGGATATATAGAAATAGGGTGAGCCTATTGCCATAACCCGGGCACGATTCCAGACCCTATGCTACCACTGAGAGTTTTTAAATACCCAGTAATACTTTGCCCGACCCGGGAATCGAACCGGAGACCCCTTGGCCGGCAGTCGCACTTGCGACTACTCGGCCAACGAGGCGGTCTAATAAATAAGAAATTATAATTATAACACGAAGAGCAAATAAAACTTCATATCTTTAATACACATTACCTTTCGTTTCCTCTTTCTAGACCGGGCATTGGAGTTGTTCTCGGCAGCTACCCCTTGCAAGATAGCATTGATCTGCAGTTCTTGGGAGTCGTGCAATACGACCGGCACCATCGGTACCACGGGGGGAGGCGTCGGCTCCGGCGGCGGGGGCGACGGAGACCGCGGCATCTTTGTACCCATCGTCGTGTATGCGTCTGGAGAACATTGTGTTGATTATTAATAAAGTTCAAACAAAGAGTTTGGTGATTTCACTGAACTTCATGGTTATTGGGTCGATTTCTAATTCCTTAACTAAAGTCGCTACTCTTCGGATGATGAGCACCAACTTAATCCTCCAGATAGCCAAGCGAACTGGTAATTATTTCTATAAAATTATTCTACCAAAGTACTTTATAAATTGAAAATCAATAAGTAAAATACTGCATACCTCCATTGAGGAACGGTTTCACAACAGGTGGTAAGTTGGGCGGTGCGGCGACAACTGGTGGTGATGCAGGCGGTGACGCGGGACCTGTTGCAGGACCACCCGTATCCATATTCGGAGGCTCCTGGAATAGATAATATTTACAAGATAAATAAACCAATAATTGAAATGGGTTTTTATTATAATGCAATGTAATGATGTTGGGTTGGAGAACCTCCATATAAGTTATCAAAACTTTAAAAGTTGTTAGTTTATGTATTGGACTCTTTGGCTGATTTAATTAGGTACCAAGTGTGCATAAAGAATTTTGGTAACAATGAACATTTAGCCTTTTAGTAAAAAAGTAAAAAAAAATATTTTTCAATAATACATACCTCAGGAGGCCGTCCAGAAGGTAGATCAGAGGGAACGGGCGCCAATGGAGACGCGGGTCTTCTCGTGGTGACAGGGGAGAGGGGTGCCACAGGGGGTTTGGGGGGCGTAGGGGATGGTGCGGGCGGTGGTGAGGGGGGTGGGGTTGTTGGCTCGGAGGGGCGGCGCGCCACCACGTGGTGCGGCAGCGGGCCCGCCTTGCGCTTGGGCGGCGCGGCGCGCGGGCCCTCCGCGCCTCGCTTGCCGCCCGCGCCGCCGCCGCCGCCGCGCACCGCGCCCACCGGGTCCAAGTCCGCCTCGTCCACCATCATGCGCTGCAATGTCATAAGAAACCATTAATAAACTACAATAAAATTTCAATACAATTTATAATGTACTAGACTCTATTAACTAGAGTGACCATCAAACAATATTGGGATAAAAGCAGCAGCTAGAAGCAACAAATACACACTTAAGGTACTGTTACACATGCTATAAAATAGCATGTTAAGGCGTTCTATTGAGTAAGCTAAAAAAATTTTAAAACCGAACGCCTGTCGATTTGCAAACATCCTAGAAATGAGCATGCTAATTTTGAGCAACATACCGACACCGAGACCATACTGACATGCTAATAAGTGACAAGTGCTCAACTTAAGCATGCTCTCGTGCTTGAAATTAGCATGTATAGCAGTACCTACCGAATATATCTGATTTTCAAAATAAGGTCTACAATCTACATCCATTTTCGTCAATCAATGCTGCACTTCATAAGCTAGATTATTCTTGTCTTCCACATGAAATAATGATGGGGGATTTCGTGATGACGGCGTGCTAATGAAAATAGTGATCAGTTTGCTTATAATTTAAATCAGCGATCAATTTCTTTGCGAATAGTTTACACCAGCATTTACTTATAGTTTCTGAAAGAAAATAATGTAGCTACGAAATAACTAACATTAATCACCTTGTCTATCTTGAAGGGGTTGCCGAACATGTGTTGTCGCACAGGTTGCGACTCGATCTCCCGTAGCTGCGGCGTCATACGCTTCAGATACTCCTGGTAGTTACCCATCTGGGCCACCGGCATCGAGTGGACACTGTCCTCGTCGACTAGACGAGTGTGAGCTAGAGATGGTTGGAGGAAGTTTGCTCGCATCCTCACCACCTGGAATGAAGAAATAAATATAACAAAATTTTAAATGTGTAACTTGTAACTGCTCAAGTTCATGTTTCGATTTATTTCAGTAAAGATTTTTTTACGTTTTAAAAATGAAAAATTCACCATAACAGCACTGAGAAATTGGGTTAATAGCACCCTTATAATGAAGGCAGGCAATGTAAAAGTTAGTTTACCAAATATAAGATTCTATAAGTCAAATTCTTATCGAATCTAACTCAGAAAAAAGGTCACTAACCATTTAATATTATTCAGTGTATTCAACAAAAACATTCCTTTAACAACTTATTTATTGAAAGCCAATAATATATTATGGTCAGTTGTATTTCGCTTCGAATGCGCAATAAATTATGTAAGCAATCACATACATATCAATAATGGCTTATTAGAATACAATGTGGTAATGAGACAAAAATGATCTAACAAGTAGAATACAAATTCGAATTGGAATATTGTCAAAGAAACTGCAGATAAATAATAATCACGAATAAATTTGCATACATAAATGAAGAATCATTGATAGCTGTTAGTAGGTATATAGATAATAAGTTAAAAGAATTATAACAAAGCTTATTCACATTTAATAATTATTATTTTTCTTTTTTATATCTGGATTTTTACTTTTAAATTCCACCATGTTGGACTTTAAAATTATTTTTTTTTTATTTTAGTAAGTTATTAGTATAATGCGTCAAGCGTCTTTGCATTGTTCTTACATATGCCTACAGTATTGAAATATGTATCAGAGACATTGTAGAACATACTTTTTTAAAAGAGTAACGAATGGAGTTTCTTGCTCGTTCTTCTCCATTCGAATCTACTTTTTGGAATGAGCACCTAGCTTCACCTAGTTTCACTGATGGACTGACTGACAGACTATTATTTATTTTGTATTTGTTGACGTTTCAAAAGTACCAAACTATGGTTTAATTGAAATAAATGCTTTGACTTTGACTTTTACTCATATAAAGACCAGTCTGTGACAGTATAGGTAATTTGTTAAAAATAAATAAATATTCTCACTTGATCTAACAAATCTCTCCTCTGTATATCGAATGGATTTCTATAAGTGTGCGCTTGTGTCTTATGCCTGCCTCGAGACAGTCCCACGACGAAGCCGCCGAATTCGTTTAACTGATCCCGAAGAGCTGAGAATTTGTCTTGCAAACATGGATGTGTCGTCAGGTCCTTTCGTAGCGGTGACCTTGACATCACTCTTACGCTTTCTGCTACCTGAAATTGTTTGTGTAGTGTTGAATTATAAATTGTTTGATGAAAATAAAACATAACATCACACAGTAGGCAGAGGTGCACATTATGCCACTGTACAATATAACATAAACAGTATGTTATAAGTCCCATGTAATAGGGGGTGAGCCTATTGCCATACAGCAGGCACATTTCCAGACTTCGTGCAACTACTGAGATTTTTAAAAACGCAGTAGTACTTTACTGGTTTTTTTTTTTAATTTTCTGGTAACGACCCGGGATTCGAACCCGAGACCCCTTGCCCGGCAGTCGCACTTGCGACCACTCGGCCAACGAGGCAGTTACAGTATCGATATAAATTATAATTCACACATTGCTCAGACATAGACTGTCATTCATAGCTCTGTCATAGACAGACATGTCTGGAAAAATATTACAATAAAACAGTAATTGAATATACCTTTTGCGTATTGTTGCTAGATGATTTATTAATGACGTCAGCACAGAGTTTCTCGAATTCAACTTTAGCTTGATTTTTCAGTCTTTTCAAATAGTTCAATACAGAGAAACTGAGAGAGTTGTCTTGTGAGTCGGGCATCAAACTCTGCAAGAGTTGTGCAGGTGCTCCCATCTTTGTTAGGGCTCTTCGTAGCGGCTGGAAACACAATGTAGTTATAAGAACAGATCAGATAATGTATCAATGTGACTATAAAAATATTTTTTTAAAAAGAGTAACGATCGAGTTTCTTGCTTGTTCTACTCCATTCGAAACTACACTATGGAACGAGCTCCTAGTTTCACTGACAGAGAGACGGACGGACAATTCAATTTTTGACGTTTCAAAAGTGCCTAATTAAGTATTAACAAGTATTTAATATAATTAATTTGTATTATATTAACTAGGATTTATCACGAATCATCATACTCCTGATTTTGAAACGTAAATAATCAACACGATATCACGCTTTTAATCTCTTAACATATGGCAAAGAAACAAATCAACACAAACATCTGACGAACCCTATTGGTAAGTCCAATTACATAACCCATAGAATTGAAACTGGGTAAACTATAACAGTACTAGCTTCTGCCAGCGACTTCGTCCACATTTTCGTGGGATAAAAAGTAGCCTGTGTTATTCTAGACCATATTTTACCCCTTCAGCCGTCGTGACGTGATCGAGTAACAAACTTTCGCATTAATTATATTACACATAACATAACATTATCCCCGAACGGGTAGGCAGAGACATTACGGCACTTAATGCCACCGTCACTGCAAATTTATAATATTAGTAAGATCATAATACTCACCACTATGTAGTAAGTGGGCATTCTATCAAGATAATGCTGAAAAGCAAGCTTCCACTCAGGAGTGGGCTTGCATCGATGCACTTTGAACAGGTCGTCTAGTAGTGGCAGTAACATTGGATAGTTGTATGGTAACACGAACAAGTTGACACACGTCAAGTTGGTAGACGCCTTCAGGTAACCAAATGGATGGTTTATCTCGGAGTTTTTGCAACCACTATTGGCTACAAACACCTGTAATTATATAAAACAAATTATCAATATTGTGTAGTTTTTATTAAAACGTTCGTGAGACAATCTAATTAATAATTATTTTTTCGACTTAATCACGAACTGTTTGAAGAGGAACTCGACTAGTTGCGAGTCGAGTTCAAAAACTTGTAAGGGACTTATATGTAGAAAAAATGTTTTAAGGCCTAGACCATAACAATTTTAATCTGTACCTAATAATGATCAACATGCACATACATGCATAACCACAACTAATTCAATCAATTAATACTTTAAACCATATTATAAGTAATTGGTGTCATTATCTTATTAGTGGCGCGCTATTTGACAGTTTGTTTACATTCCGCAAGGTAACCTACATAATAAATTAGTACAAATTGGAGTCAATTGCTAACATGTTGAGACACGATTGTAGATGAAAATTGTCACTGTAAAGGAGTTTTTAATGTTAACTGTATCTATCTTCATTACCTTCACTCACATTTTTTTTTATTATGAAGTAATTTTGTAACATTTTATTTATTCAGCAACCCTTTTACTGCAAGCTAACACCTAATTGCAATACTAGAAGCTCACTAAAAGCTAAAGAACTTAATTATTAAAGGACTTCCCAAAAAGGGCGAGGTTTTAATTACTAGATTATTCTACTGATACTGAGATGACATTAAATATTCTCTCACCTGCCAGCAGATCGTTGGTTGTTTCCTAGCTAGTATAAACTGTGTCAGTGGGCTGGGCTCCAACTCGTACTTATCGAATGGTAGGTTGTCAATAACCATTGGCTCTTGGCTGGAACAGGTGAACTTCACAACTGGATGCGCCGAACGAGGAGGCTGAAAATGAGAACATAGAATTTAACTATTATGAAATAAAACTTGCTTGTTACTTTAAACATTTGAGACAGTATAAATTCGCTAATGCATTTGACCGATAGGGACCAAAAAATATAAAAGCAATTAGCAATTGTATGATATCTATGTGTCACTGTTTTATTTTTATGGAATTTAGTAAATAACTATGAGACAGATCATAGTCGAGACTTCCTAAAATTAAAGTACACGTCAACATTATTCAGTGATTAACAACACGTTGCTGTTGTGTACAGAAACGATTGCAAAATGATACATAATCAACAAATAATTCGGAGGTCATTGTATCCACTCAACTCTTCAAACTTTTATTTCTTGCAAGTCTACGCTTTCGTAAAGTGTAAAGTTTTAAAACAAACAACGAAAGGTTTTCAAGTAACTTAAATCCATTATAGAGCTGCCGTAAATCAATATTTCCCAAGCCAATGCAAGGTAATTTATTACAATGGTCGAAAGCCGTGCAGTAAGTTCACTTAATAAGCACGCCGACCTGTTGTTCATGGGAACTGCGATGGTTCAAACCAGCTGACGTACTAGTTGCAACATTAAATATTCACTGGTTTGGACTAAATAGTTCCTCAACCGATAATCAATCTAATTACAACATTGTAAGCTTCCATTTCCCAGAACATTTTATAGGGAAAATACTGAGGTTATACATTCCAATTGGAATTCATTAAAGATAAATTTTTAACGTGTCTGCATAGCAACGAAACAAATATTGCAAACATACTTAAAATTACAAGTATAAATAAAATACTGATAATAATAATTGAAACAAATGTAGATGAGGAAGAGGTATGGCAGAATCGTGTTAATTGGCATTCCAATGTCTCTGTCTACTCCAAAGGGAGTCAGGCGTGACGCATGTAATGCATGATAAATTAATAATAGTTTCATTTTGATTTCCTTCGAATGTTTGCAAAAAAAAACTAATGAAGAAGGAACATTTCAAGCGTCTAAATGACACAGAAAAAGTTACATAGTAGACTTCTGTCAGTGCTTCGCCTGCAATACTAAGAAATTATTAAGTACAATCTCTCTTTTCTCTCCTATAAATTCATTCAGTAGGTATGTGCATTTCTATCCATACATCCTCATAAACTTTGCCATCTATCAAAGATACATACCAATGTTTGTGCATTAGGGTCGGATCGGAATGACTCCGGAATAGGCCAGAAACCGACGGCAAATCCTTTTTGCGCCACTGTCCGTGGCACGTAGATAAGTCGCCGACATGAGTGCCAAGCTTGAGGAGCTCCGCTCTGCGTTTGATACTGGCCGCTGTTCCAACGCTGGAAATAAGAGAAAGATAAATTAGTTAAAACAGAATAGAAGAACATGATATGAGATAGCACCACGTCCATAATAATTATCAGTATTCGCTAAAAGGAGAAATAAGGTGCATAAATTGTGTACATAATAAAACTTATTCTTTAACCACAAGCATCAAAATTAAAAAACCGAATCAAGAATCGACTTTCAAATTCAAACAACTTTATTTGTAAATCATACGTTACAAAAGATATTACAAAACAGACCTTTTCCAACAAGACAGGCATAGCGGTATACCTTTGCGTTTATTGTTTCGCCGATTTTGATAATTATGACTTAATACTTTGTTGATGATATTGATGATAAGTAAACACTTCAATTGACTAATTACGACAAGTAATGATTTCCTTAAAAATACGCAAAACCAAACAGATAGATGCCGATCAATAATCAAGTTGATCTATACATAGAAACGAAATAATATCAACAATTGATGAGGACAATAACAGGATAAATGGTAATTAAGGGCTTTTCCTTAAATATAAAAGAAAAATAAGGTCCATTACATAGTCATTACAATTACGCAAAACATCTTCGTCTCAATTCTAATTATAACCTAAATAATTTGAAAGGATTCCGTCATAAAGTTTTGCATTGTAAACATGGTTACGTCACTCTTTAGCTACTGTTACCATATAAAGAAAAAACTTTATGAAACGGTATTGTTTTACTCATATTTGACTAGCTTTTAAGACGCGCCTTTTTTTAAAGGCCGCGCGGGGTTTCTTATAAAAAATTGGCCTTTTTTTTGAGGGGGGAAAATCATCCAATGACTTCTCCCGCCCGGGTGAGGCGGGAGGGAGTGTTAGACTCTCACTGACTAAAAACCACCCCGTTCCTACTCCTGCACTTCGAGCCGGAGCCCCGACAACCAGTATCACATCTTCAGCCTCCCTCCTATCTACGTAGTACGTACACAAAAGGCCATAAAAACGCTCCGCAAAATGAAAGAAAGACACACAAAGAAACAATTTCGCATTTATAATATTAGCAAGGATTTGTTTATTTTTAACATTCGAATACCGGTTTATCTAAATAAGTTTACAACTTTCTATATCAAACAATAAGGCGTTTAAAGGGAAAAGTATTGTACGGTTTTACTTCACAATTCCATTTATTTTGTTTCATTAATTAGTTTTCTAATACGAACTGTTCAATCAAAGTATAAACAAAGTCTTAGTGCTTCGTGCTTAGATCTTTAAAACTACGCAACGGATTTTGATGCGGTTTTTTTAATAGATAGTGATTCTTAAGAAAGGTGATGTATAATATGCATATTGCACCCGTGCGAAGCCGAGGCGGGTCGTTAGTTTGTCAACATAATAGAGGGTTATAAATATCTCAGAGTATTTCAGGATGTAGTAGGATAATTGAGCAACAGAAAAATATTATAAATATTATTGGACCACTTTATTAATATAGTATTGTGACGAAGAAGTTTTTTTTTTAATATTTAAGATAAGCAAAACACTAGGGCGATAAAATGTAATTGAAAATAATATATAATAGTTAGAATGACTGACTGTAACTCTAGATTAAGCTTTATTTAAATACAATTAAGTACTATAATTACCATGCACTAACTTAAACGATTTCTCAGTCAAAACGCCTCAGGTTTAATAGACTAGACGCATATAATTGGGCATTAATGAGCATTCGTTTATCATTAAATTTAATTGTCTCTGTGACTAATACAAAGCTATTATTAGTCATGAATTACTTTATAATTAAATAAATGTTAATTGTATGATCTATTTTGAAAGTTACACAAATCATACAAAACAAGAATACCTAAGTTATAAAGTTTTTTAAGTAAGTAATCAACTCATTTGGGCAGTTTATGGCGATTAAAATTTCCTTAAAGCCTAGTTTTAAATAGTCGGTACTCTTTATAATAAAGCAATTTTATTGTTCTCATTTGGTCAAAGTAACTAGGTAACTTTAATATCATTATTTCATAACGAGATTTCAGTCGTAAACTGAATAAATACAAAGGTTATACCGCCTACGTAGCAGTTATAAATAGTAAATGAAAGCGCAACAAATAAGAGGGAAGCTCTTTGATATCATAATACAGAATAAATCGAGTCCTTGATAAAGTGGTCTGTAACAAATGTTCCTAAGATAAGTTCGCGTAAGTTTCCAGTTTCTAAGAACCTTACAGCCATTAGTCAGACTGTATGTTGTATCGGTGTTTTGTTAATAGACAATCATTTTTTATTCTTAATTAATAACGATTATTTTTTTGTTTCATGCGTATTGGAAGAATAAGTATCGATTCTTGATTAGTGACCTTGGCCTACATGCAACTTTAATTGCATTTATATGGAGGTAAATGTAGCATTGTAGCTAAGAAGTAAGAACAAAGCACACAATATAAAGAAGAGTCGGTAGGTCAACGCAACCTGCATCCCTGCGTGAGTATACTCACGCCGGCAGGTGGGGGGCGACGAACAAGCATATTGCATGACTTACAATCATTTGTGTGGAAGCTAGATTTTTTCCAACTCATTGTAAAAGTGACGCCTGATTCTATCACATGTTATGACCTCAGAACAATCAAGAGCGAAATGTCACGAAGTGTTATTAAAGAAAATAAAAAACTTACTCCATTCCTTTCGCCGTCGCCTTCCATTTCCTTGTCCCCCTCGTGGTTCGCATCATCTTGTTCGCCCTCTCTAATGTTAGCCCCGTCAATGGGCGGTGGATCGGGGCCAATCTTCTCGAAGTTGATAACTACTCCACTTTGCACTTTTTGAACCAAACTGTCGATACACTGCATCAGCATGCGATGTGAAGTGATACAGTACGAACGACCTGAAAATTGTACGAGTCGTTGTTCATTGAAACGAGAAATAATACGATCTATGTTAATGTTTGTTTGAAGTTGTTTTCATACGTGGGTGGAAGAGGTGGGGTAGTTTGTTTATCAATATCATCGACAAAGGACGAGAAAACCTTTCAACTTATACATTATACAATAAACATATTCATGTTATTTAATTAAGAAACATTTAACATGAACAAGGAATTATTTACAAGAAACAATGATCCGTGTCGAAGTATTATAACCTTAGTTTTTGTTTACAATAACCATCAAACAGAAATGTTTTCAGTAAATCCACTGTTGCTTACATTTGTATTCACAAAAACTTGTTCTTTACACGACTTCTGCGTTAGCGTTATTCCCATAGTAAAACGTTCATAATGAAGAGTACCTACTTACATTAAACATTCAAAGGTAAATTACAAATGAGAACCGAGGTTGTCGTACCTATATTTCTATAGAATTACATTTTATACTATTTATAGGAATAAGAGGGAACCGTCGCGAAATAAGTAATAATTTTATCGTCTAGTCTAGATTGTTATACCTCAGTTTTCTTTACCGCTATTTCGGCAGTAACGGCCCTTCTGGTAACACTTGCTACATTTTCCCCTTCGTAATGCTGTATTCTTTAAATTTTGAATGAAAATTTAAGCAGTATTTTAAGACGTTGGTGTATTTATAGAAGATTGTTCACCCACTGCATAATGCCTCAAAAATGTCAAAATAACGGGAAACATTAAACTAATTACAACGATTATGTAGGTACCGCCGATATCATTACTAACACTAATAAGTTTAACAGGAAAACAAAACCTACTTTTATAATAATTATAATGTTTAAAAAGATTTTTATTATAGAAAGAAACGTGTTTTGACTTTGAATGGCAAAGTTGGTTGCCTCTTTGAGCTAATTTATTCATTTGCTTTAAATAGCCTAATACTTTTAGATAATTTGTAGATACTTTTCGTTATAACTAGTCAGCTGTCAGTTATGCGGCAGAAAACATTATTCTTATAGTTTTGTATCTCGTATGAGTTGTATGATACCTTGACTCTCAAATGAACAGCACAAAAACTAGTCAGACAGGTTTTCTAAAGGGCTTACTATCCCCCTGTTAACATGAAATTTCTGCATCCGTCCAAGACTTTATTTTTAGCGTATTTATTATTTGCAAATGAATCCATTTACAATTTTAAAGCTGATACAAACGGGCACTAAGATAAAACGAAATATCTTCCAAGAATCGCTTTAGATAAAATGCCAATATTTATTATAATACATAAGCCGTGCAAGCCAGCACCCAGCTTCACATGGGCCCTATATCCGCACATTCCCAGTAAACTAGTCATTTTTTTCTTTCATACATACCGTATAAAAGCAAACGCAACAAAACAATATCAAATTTGATGCAGTCGTTCCCAAGTAATGCGTACCAATACCAACATTTAAATGAATCATCTGTTATTTATACCTGTAGAGTAGTTAAAGATTAGTGACTTACCGCCAGTAACTTCACACATTGCGTCGATCGGTGAGGAGTCGGAAGGCACAAGGCCCGTGTCTCTCTCGACAGCTGGTGTTCCCGCCAGCCTTAGCACCAACGAAAATAATCTCTGGTCCCATCTGAATGGCTCGCGTGTCAACTCAGAGCCAGGTATAGGGCAATTCATTGGCAAGTTAAACTGAAAAATAGATCAGAAACGAATGTGTTTTATTAATGCGACCTTTCATCAAATTGCTTTGTTGGTAGAGTGCTTGTAAGTTGGAGTAGCTAAAAATAGTAGTCTGTTATTCGTTTTCTATTTTCTGTAAAATGGCATGGAGTTGGAAACAGTGCTCTGTATATGCCAAAGGTAGGCACAACTCGCAAAAAGTAGGCATTGCATTAAATGTTGTAGCGTTACACTATAGCCCCGCCTTCTCTTTCAGGAACTAAAGAAATCTTTTAATTATGTCCCTTTTCATCATGATAATTTCTATTAAAACTTCAATGAACTAATTTAAAAAAAAATATTAATATTAATTTCAATTTAAAAAAATACGCCTTTCCTTGTCTCGGTTGTAATGACGAGCTTAAACTACGCAGTGTCTACGTCGTATCGACGTCCCTGACTTCAGAGATAGGCCGCTTATACATGTCGAGTGTATTTTCCGATGCATATAAATTCCTATACGCGCTGTATACGACACGCGCATGATGCAGCCAGTTCAAAGCGTATCATGCACAAGTTTAAACAAGTTAAAAACTTTAGCTGGCAATCTGAGTCATCAAAATGTATTATCTCCATCTGTGTTATATTTTATTCTTAGGTTTTCCTAACTTAATCACGCTACGACTAGTTTCAGGTTCGTATTACGGAATTTCATTGAGCTGAACATTACTTAAAGTTCCAATCTTGGTAGGTATTTGATGGGTTGATTAAATCAGAGTAATGTTTCAATGAGAATCTAAGATCTTGTACCCAGCACCCACGTTAACGATTAAACTTAGATGTGATAACGTGAAAATAGGTCTTGGCTTCACAAAGTCTAGTATTCTTGATGACGTTTCCAAAAATTCACAATTCTATTGACACAGTATTCAAATGAAACACTTGTAAGAGAAATTTGAATAAGGCATGCGACCTCCAAACCCAAGATGCGAGTTAAGAGTAAAATAATACATAAATACACGTAACTAAGAGTCAGGTTCATACATAACATAAGGCCCGACACATACATGCTACTTTAATACGACGCATATTTTGTTTGAACCAATTTGCTGTTACCAAGTGTAGTGCGTCTTTGACTTTCCCATGAAAAAATCTATACCCTTTACGTGTCCTTAACTGAGATTTCTTATTATTTGCATTTGTTAAGAATATAATAGAACGTATGTAAATGATGCACCCGGGTGATAGACCCGAGCGAGAAGGAAGCATCATACTCTAATTTTAACTGCGATCCCGAAATCTTTCAAGCGTGCAAATGAAGGCAAAAACCTCTATAAAGTAAGATTTGTTAACAGTGGACAAAGGGCCAACTGTGACGTAAATGCTAAAGTAGAAAAGCTATTGTTAAAATCGCAAAATATGACTAAGTAGACAGTTGTCACCTTTAATAACTGTACAAGATAATGCACTTGCCTATGGCATTTTATGTTTATTTGTATCTTCTCTCAACCTATGCAGATGCAATGCGACTTTTTAATATCAATGGATGCACAATCAGCAATATGCAGCCACGGAAGTAACCAAGGCGACAAGTCGACCAATACGGATGAATGAATAAGCTCGTAAAATCGTAACAACGTATGGTGTGCGACGGACCTTAGCCAAAATTTATGTGCATCACTGCTGATATTTATGATGTAAATAAGTAGGTCACAGTGAAAATGCCTAGGTACTACTGCAATTGAATCTATGAAGTTAATTATATATCGGCACATAACTATAATATTAATCTTTAGGAATTTATTTACATCTATGTTTTTTTATTCAGTATCTTTCTATTCTATTACTTTAAAATAAACTTTAATGAATGAATGTCCCTTCTAGGGCAATGGATGCAGACAAAGGCGCGAACTTAGCACACGAACTTTACATCAAGATTTCTATTTTATAGACTATCTCTAGAGATGTAGAAATTGATTATTATTGTCGAAAAACTGCAAAACTTTCAATTACAATAGGAGTGGGTAACATTACTGGAAAATAGAACTAGGGTTACGTCTGCTTACGGAACATTCGAGATAATACGAGAGTTCTAGAAGAGGAATTTTCTAGAAAGGAATTTTAAAGGATAAAATCACGACTATTCTGCCTATTAACACTGGCGCGAAGATACAAATTCATAGTAGTAAATTAACTTTTCATGAATTAATATATCTTACGTAAGACAAAGCCTATCAAAGTGTGTGTGCATAGTGTGGGGCGACGTTTAAAAAAAAAAGAAAAAACCTTAAAAATTATATAATGACAGGCCTAGTCAGGTCGGCCTGACTAGGCCTGTCATAAAACAAAATTAAAACAAAATAACAAAATTAACATATCATTAGAACAAAATTACACCATTGAAACAATGTAATTATCTCTAAACCATTCAACTTTGATATGTTTATCATCAAACCACTATAACTGGTCAACCCAATACCAAATTAAATTCATTTCACTAAAAAAATATTTTCTTACTCAACACAACTTCTTTTTAAACATAAAATTTTAATTACAAAACCATTTAACTGTATGCAATATCCTAAAAATGTGTACAAACTTTTCTCTTTACATATTAATATGAACATGAATAAATTAATTAATGTTTATGATTTTAATAAATAAGCATTACTTTTATGCCACTGCTTGCATCAGTAAGCATAAGGAATTATGTTTCATTTGTGTCGTTTTTAAAGTCTAATATAACTTGAGCCCTGTTTAGATAAGATAGGAAAAGCACATTAGATTGTGGAAATTAAGGTATGCTCAGGAGAGATGAAACCTTAATGCCTGGGTATTTAAACTTTTTATTGTGTAACAGTAACTATGTATATTGCGTCTCGCCCGTGAGAAATAAAAAAATCGTAATCAGGATAAAGAGTTACTACCTGAAATGTGATCTCTTTGATGGAGAACATTTTTTTTATAAACAGTATTTTCTGAGTAACCATTTGTCTATTGAATAGTTACAACTAAGACACAATGTAATCTTTTTTGTTTAGTATTCTTTAGTAGTATTAGTACACAAAGTGTGAGTAATTTTAAAAATCTTTAAAATATTGTCTTAGTTAGCCTATGAAATGGCTTTTCTCATAAGAAACAACATACAATATTTACAATAATATGTTCTGATTGTAATTTCAATTAAATAGCAGTAACAAGAAACTTACTTATGGTCATCAAGGCAATCGTCTTAGAGATTATTACTTAATTATTCATTCAAGATGAGTTTAAGTTTATTGACCTCCGATGTTGATATTAATCCATGATTTAATTGAGTATTAATGTAAATAGTACAATAAATATGACAGTAGCTAGTTTAAATACCAAGTTTTAGGTGTTTGTGTTTAGTTAGGATACTCTCACTTGTATGGATTTTGGAATTGTGCCCAGTGTATTGCATTGCAACAGGCTTTGATAGAACAATGCATGGTCTAAAAAGTTAACCAGTAAAAATTATGGTTTCTATGTGTATGGATTACACTATTGTCCCACTTTTACTTCCCTGGTGATAATTCTATAGAACAACTTGATAGATGAACCATATTTCCTTTTATTTTTAAAAAGTGAAATGTCAAATTACAAAGTTAAACTTGTGATTTACATAATGTAGAGTGCCTATCATATTAAGTGACACTGTTAACACTCTAAAGAGCAGCTGTTTTCCTTCTCTATAAAAATATTTAAATAATATAAGTAAGTACCTAAGCCATAACTAAAATACATCACTAGAAATGTTAAGTTGGTTTGAAGCAATCATTATTTAAAAAAGAAGTAAGCATAAAACTAAGATAAGATTAGTAAATTATGTCAGTTCAAGTAACGCTAAATGTATGGTTCTATAACTACACTACAATACATGTATAAAAAAATTGAAGAATAAAAATATTTAGTACTTATGTTTTTTTAATAAAAAGAATATTAATATAAGTCAAACCTTCATCAATTGATTCTTAAGAAGATTTCTTTTGTTCTTGAAGACATAAACATCTTTGTTTACTGATAAGACATTATCATAAAGGGAATTAAGGACTAAAAGTGAATTGCATTAAAAATCTTATATTTTACTTCTGCAGTTAAAGTATTATGTCCAAATAGAATAAGTAATGTAAACCAGTAATAAAAATATAACAATTACTCACCTCTTCCTGAATGCCAGCATTACTTGAAAGTTTCCCTCCATCAGTTATAACAACAATAACAGAAGGCTCAAGATAGAATGGACATCTTCCTTGACCATATGTGTCAATGCCGGTCTGCATGCGATTAATGTTTAGAACATCAAAAGCATGCTTCAATGCTGCACCCATTGTAGTCAGGCCCAGACATTGCAAATTTTTCAATTCATTTATAAATGTAGCAAGATTCTCTTTCCACCCAGCCTGAAACAACAGAGAAGATAACACAACTCATCAATAATGAGGTCTAATTAATAAATAGGTAACTATAGCTTGTAGGTGTGATAAATGTTGGAGGGTGTGGTATGCCATAAACCAATGATCTCAAAATAAAATGTCTGAATGTATGTTTATGTATCATTCAACACCATACATCATTCAGAACAATACATATTATCAGACTTATAAGATAGGTATTAACACTGATGTGTATGATTGAGTTTGAATTTCCCCCCCGAATCGCCATTTCGTAGTGTGCGATCTCGGCCAATGAGAATGTGCGACGAGCGCGCAGTAGCGAGCGCTATCGCGAAGGCAGCAACGGCGGCGGTTCGTCCTGTTTACGTCGTGCTGTCTATTTCAGTAAATTTCGCACTTTCAAAATATGTAAATGTTCTTGGATTGCAGATTACAGTGGTTGACATTTAGACACTACCAAACCGGCATAAACACTCACACCTATGCACAATCCACAAGAAATTCTTCGTTAACGTGTTCACTCTGTTATACTAACCTTGATGTTCGCGGGTGGTTCTTCGAAAGTTAGAAGCATATACCTGTCGCCTCGGCTTTCGGGGGAACGTTGACGAACCTAGGAAATAAAATAAATCAGTCCAACACACTAACACGGGATAAACAAATCGATCACAAAAATGAGGCGGTTGACGAGTCGATGACACTGCACGTACCTTTACGAACGTTTCCACAGCGCCCTTGGCTACATCGAGCAACGTTGGGCGTCCGCCCAAATAAGCTCTTTGGTTCATAGAGGCTGAAGTATCTATTAGGAAAACTATTATAGTCATCGTGAAAATTGCCTAAAAGTCCCTCGAAATACATTAAAATATGCGCACGCTATTAGAAGTTAGAATAAAAATGGCCGCTACATCGTACGCAGACTCGCTGAGAGGCGACCGTCCGACAGCCGCTTCGACGAGCAGCTGAACAAGCTACGCCACGACGAAGACTCCAAGAGTACCACGTGACCTAATCACACGTTCGGAATTTGTCGGCTATGTCCGTTGACTGGCGAAGAGGGTTGCCAAGCTAAAATTAAATTTACCTATGTATTGTAAAATATTATCGCAATGCGAATCACTAAGTCATTTCTGGAAATTTAGGTTCTCTAAATAAAATAAGCTGTAAGTATACTATAAACCACATTTTGTTTGATATTGCTTGTGAAGTTTATTCAAAATAAATTATGTTGTCCATGCGTTCACACAAATATTACTTACTTTGGGTCTACTTATTTAGTATCAGATATTATATTCAACTTTTTAATTAGTATTTAACAGGCGTTGACAAATATGACTTCATTTTATACTATATGACCCATTAGGCATTTGAGGAAATATATAAATAATATTCCCTTGTTTTTGGGGAAAGACTACTTAGTAGTAACACCACTTCCTACTAAGTGAATCTTAAAAGTATTGAAATGGATAATTTTCAAGAGCTAATATAGATAATATTAACATAAATTGATAATAATAATAGTTATATTAATTAAACATTTTAAATACCAGAGCAACAAATAACATAAAACCAACTAATAATATAAAGGAACACATAATCTGCCACTAGCTATTATTCGCGGTAAATTTGAATAAAGAATGCATAGTGCAGTCAATTAAAAATAAAAATATAACATAATCGATTAATTTGTGTTTAAACTATATTAATGACATTTAATTGTTTGTTACTAAGTATTTTGGGCGGTTCAATACCAAGCACAAATTACGTTTTTTGGTAAATTTAGTTGACCTAGTTACTTCTTGTCTTGATTGTAAGACCTTAACATTAACACTTCATAAACATATAAATGGAAATTCTAGATTTCCATACATATTCTCCAACGTCATGGCGTAGTATTTTTCCCCATACCTGGCGCCTAGACCCTAGGTAACCCTATGTTGAGGAGTAAAAATCATATTTAAAGTTTCATCTTGATTCTGATAGCATTATCGTAAAATAATCCTATCCCTCTATCCTATTTAGTGACTATTACCTATCACTTAAGCAGTTTCACTCGTCAATTAATTTATCGTTGATAAACAGTCTGTTATTATTACTAACTAATATTAACTAGTGCTCTGCTCATGGCGATTTGCGTTACACGAAAGATCAACAAGCGGTGTGCGTGAGAATTTCCTTCTATTCAAAAATTTATTACGTTCTTAACAAACATCAATTTTTCTTCTATTGGGGACTTTGCTGAATTTATTAAAATTAATTAAGTTATAAATATATTTGAGCCACAAGATCTTCCACTTCCATTAAGTTAATAACACTAATACGCATCGATCAGTATTTAAAAAAATATTATTTAAAAGAGATATTCTTTAGGTCCATATTTAATGAGTCACCTCTCACATAGTATTAAGTAATAAGATTATTACCTTGAGTATCTCTACCAAGGACGTGAAAAAAAACCGAATAGTCTTTTGAAACAACGACTGTGGCACCTGGCTACTATAGAGTTTTACACAGAACATAAACACATTGACACGAAGGATATTTGTCATTTTCTTAAGCTGGTAACGTGGTACCACATTAGACACACACATAAGAGATCCACTGGCATTTTGGTGCTTCAATCATTTCTAAATGACATTAGGTCCGCAGTTATTTCAACGGCCTTGATCTGTATATCCGTTAAGATTCTTTGGTTAAATAAAGCTGTATATTGTAACAGGGGTTTATGATTATATGCTTAAGTTCCTTGTAATTACCTAGAACCTATTATGTTTGCGATGTAACTGGTTCTATGTTTATTATTATAGTGAATTCCTATGCTCTATTTTATAAAAAATCTATAAATTGAAAACATACATACTAGTAAAGATTTTAGGTTCTTTACAAATACTACTACGGTACTATAAGGTTTATATTTGATGATTAGGTTTAAGTGACTAGAAAATATTAATTTTTGTAACTCCCGCTTTATTAATGTATTTTTACATCACTAATGTACCAATAAGTCTATGATTACTTAAATAGAAATTAGATGACAGTCAATCAAATAGTCGATTATTGATTGTAATTTTTTACGTTGTAGTTGTAATATGGTTATATGGTTTTTTGTATAAATTTTATAAAAAAAATGTATTTTCTTACAAATAAACAACGTTGTATGGTTGTCAATAACATTTTTTAATGTTTAAACCATAACATAGTCGATTAAATTATAGACAGCAGCTTAACTGTGCAACACTACTTAGTACACCGCCCGCCACCGCCACCCGGCTCGCCCGTAACTGTCAGTTTTGACAGTTGTACATGTGTGTATTTTAGTTTGATGTGAATATTGTGTTATCAATGAATTAATTTCTGATTGAGTGACAAAACAAATAAGTTAGTTATTTTCGAAAGCATCACACTGCTATAAATTATATACTTTGAATATTTATTAGAGACATCTTCGTGTCCATCTTGGCCGTTTAAATCTTTCAATTTATTGTTCACTGAAAATCAAATAGACACGCAATCATGGACGAAGTATTAGATCAATTAAATAAAACTAGTTTTATTGACCTGTATAAGCAAAAGGGGGATAATCAAGAGCAGAGGAGAAAAGATCTTCTTGATGCTCAGAAATCGTAAGTTTAAATTTTGTTTAGTTGTTATTAACAAAACACTGTAGTGGTGTTTTTAAGACTAATTTTAGCCCTCATAAATGTAATAGAACTAATTCCACCCTTTGGTATCTGCTTGAAGTATTTCTTTCATTATTGGGTACTCCTTAAGTAAAGAAGATAGAACTCTCTGTGTGACAATAATTTATGAAGAAGTCTGACTAGTAATATTTTCCTAAATGATATAAAAATTTCTTTTACAGACTGCGGAACAATTTAGTGGACACATGTAGAGGAATATTGGCATTAGTAGATGCAGCAGAAAATAATGACTGCTTTCAAGAAAAAAAGGTAAATCATACAATACTTAATATGGCTATTGTTTTGAGATAAATTCATAATTTTATTATGAATCTGTGTGATGTTGTGACTTCGTGAAACAGAGATTGCATTACTCAAGTTTGCCATGGAATGAGCAAAAGACTTTATACTAACTTTAGGTGCCATATTCGAATATATCTTAAAGTAAAAAATTCCAGTCCAGGTTTTAGTAAACCATGTTGTAATAAATATAAAAAATGTGGATAAGTGTTAATTAAAATCATAATTATGTGATAATAATTATCTTTTTATTTATTTATTTATTATTCATTTATTTCCAGGCTTTGTATAAACCAAAGATCTTTGTAGCTGGTTTCACGCGGTGTGCGTACAGCAATGTTCTAATGTTGTCCGAGTGGATGGTTGAACAACCAGAAGATTTCCACGAAAATTGGTATGTGGTACCATGTCCGAAAGGAGTTAGGACACTTGTTGTGGCTAATAGAGTAAGTATACAATTTCATAATGTTTTAATTAGGTATTTATACTGAAATATATAATTAAAACATACAGCAGGACCTCTTTAATCGGAACTCTGAAAATTTTGTTGATATCGAATCAAACCCGGATTAGAGGGGGTTCGGATTAAAGAGGTATTAGCTGCTGTATTAGCTCTTCCAGTGTGCTTCCACCCACTGCTCAGCTCATCTTGATTGTAACAAGATGTTGTTAATCCTATCTCATAGCTGTCATCATTAAGTGGATTATCTAACACAAAAAGACGTCTTAAATTTGAGCCTGGTTTGGTTCTGGAGACTAGCATGTATAAACTAACTCTAGCTTTATAATATCACTGCACTTCCCTATGGTTGACTGTTAGAGAATGCCTTAACCTGTTAAAATATTGTACCCTAAATTTGTACATACAAAAGTAGTCTCTAAACATCGGAAATAAGGTCTATAATGGAGTTAGTGGAGAGCGGTCACCGGTGACGATTAAGTTTGCCATACACTGCAATTTTTTTTGTTAAAAGTTATAAGTAAAAAAAAATATTGATGACAACTAAATTATACATTTTTAATTTCAGGGTACAACAAAACTATATTCAAAGTATGGTCAGTTTAGGGGTGAATACAAAACAGCATTGCCTGGTGGTTCTGGAGCGTTGAAGAACCGATGCTGTATCCTGGACTGTTTTCAGCCTGAAAACTCAAATATTATGTATGTTTTGGACCTACTGGCTTGGAATACTCAGCCAATGACTGACGGAGAGGTTTGTTGTTTAAATTAAAATTAATTGTACTAATTTACCTTTATTTTATTATTTTTTAATTTTAATTTTTTTAAATGTTGCCCCACACTAGGATTTTCTTGTGTCGTGGATACGTTTACAAACATTCAAGTTTACATGACACCCAGACTCGGAACAACAATTTGTGGATCACACAAAGATTTGCTCCGTGCGGGAATTAAAACCCGCGACACGTTGCGTGGCAGCCGGTTGCCCAGCCCAGCTACCGCACTAACCGTGTTGTCAATGTTGACAATTGTACAATTTGTATAAAAATATTATTTGGGTGACGATTATGAAACAGTTTAGATCGTACAATTTTTACAATTGAATAATGATTAACATATGTTTCTTTTCTATAATTTCAGACAGAATTTAGACACTTTTGGATGGAAAGCCAATTCCGTGATATACCGGAATTGGAGAGGATATCTAAGAAAAATAAATTAATATTCAAAATATTACCAAAGGTATTGTGCACTCGGGAGAATTTTAATGAGTAAGTATTATGTTCCGTGTTAACAGAACTATTATACGAGTTTGAAAGTTTAAACACAATGTAATGTGGAGTGGAGTCCACTTAGAAGGAAAGGCGACGCCGATTGCTTACCATCAGGTGATCTGTCTGCTCGTTTTCTGATTTTAACAGCCTATAAATGGCCACTGCTGATCAAAGGTCTCATCTCACACGGAGAAGGTTTGAGCATTAATCACGACGCTTGCTCAATGCGGGTGGACAATTTTAAACTGGTTTTCTCACGATGTTTTACTTCACCGTTTTTTAGTCATGTCTAAATAATAACGAAAATACTTATTACTTGAAAAAAGACACATTGGTGCTTGCTGTTGGTAGGTCTCGCCCTCATGCATGAGAAGCCTTAAAGCCTTAAACCTCCGGACCACCACGACCACGAAAGTGCTTAATTATAATTACAATAATGCCGGAATACTGAAACGCTACTCAATTTTAAGTCGTGCTTAAATATCATGCCATCTCTGTCACTTTACAAAGAATATGTAGAGACAGAAATATACTTAAGGGCGACTTAAAATTGAGTAGCGTTTGAGTATTCCGACATAAGTCTCTTATATTTGTATCGTAAACGACTAGCGACTAGCTACTACTACTACTACTACTGATAAGCGAGTAGCAGGGTCTGCTAATTTTTGCTGAAGTCCCCAAGCCGCCTATAGATTTTGACACTGGGTGAACAAAAGCCACTGTTGAATACAGACCTCTCTCTTAAGAAGTGCAAAGTGCTCCAGAGCTGGGGACAACCACATGTATTACCGGGGCTCCGGCTCCAAGCAAGAGTAGGCACGGCTTGGTTTTAGTCAGTAAGAGTCTGATACTCTCTTGCCTCACCTAAGGCGGGAGAACAGATTGAATGATTTTATCCCCTCAAAAAAAAGGGAATGTAAAGTGCAAGAAGTCCATTGTTGAACTTCTTGCAATTGCGTTCCAATCCTTCTAAGGGAGTCTTTTGGCTAATAATTAATTATAATCATTCATAAAACTTATAAAGTTACAATAATCTTATTATAATATTTAATTTAATTAGATCAATAATACTAGTGAAATTCTCTTCCAGATTCATGATGAAAGCACCACACTTTCCAAACTTCAACCCACCACTGGATGGTCTGCTGTTCTACCATAAGTTTGCTCATTATTACTCTGGGGAAACACCACTGGTCGGCTGGATCTACCCTTATATGGTGCCAGAAGTTTTTGGAAAAGGTATTCTATTTCAAGTTTTTTTTATTAATAATAATACTAATACATTTGCATAGGCATAATCAAGTAGCCAAGATTATCCATCAGCAACTTGCTTTGCACTATCGATTTGTTGAGTCTGAGGTACCGTACTACAAGTATGTGCCCGACCCAGTTCTGGAAAATGACCATATCACGTTGTACTGGGACCGGTCTATCATCACTGACAGGACTATTATAGCCAACAAACCTGATATAGTGGTGATAGACCGACAACTGCGCCGCACGATGATAATCGATATCACTATTCCTCATGATGAGAACCTCGTGAAAGCTGAAAAAGATAAACAAATCAAATATCTTGATTTGGCTCACGAGGTTGTCGACATGTGGAATGTAGATTCGGCTATCATTGTGCCGATAGTCGTATCGGCCAATGGGTTAATACCTAATAGCCTCGACAACCACCTTAGGAGGCTAGCGTTAGGTAGTTGGGTCAAGGGCCTGATACAGAAGGCAGTGCTCCTTGAAACGGCACGTATCGTGAGGAGGTTTCTGTCTCTGGAGCCCTAACCACCGGTAGCTTGGACCATGCTCCCGCTACTGGTCGGCTCCTATTTTTTATATTTTTAAATATTATTTTTATGTTTTTGTAAATAGTATTTAAAAATGTATTTTATAGAGAATTTAAAATAAATATATGGAAATAGTATCCAGCTTTGTCAAGCCAAGAGATTACTTACTTGTTAATAATTTTGGGTTATTACACATAACATAACATCACGCCTTTTATATCCGAAAGGGTAGGCAGAGGTGCACATTATACCACTGTACAATGTAACACCCACTTTTCACTATTTATGTTATGAGTCCCATGTAATAGGGGGTGAGCCTTTTGCCATATATACCGGGCACAATTCCAGACTCCGTGCTACTACTGAGAATATTTAATACCCAGTAATACTTTGCCCGACCCGGGAATCGAACCCGAGACGCCTTGCCCGGCAGTCGCATTTACGACCACTCTGCCAAAGAGGCAGTCTGATAAGTGACAATTTTGGGTTATTCTTTACATTCATTTACATGTTTATTGCTGTTACTTATATTATCTCGAGCCAATATTATCCGGTGTTAATGTTAATCTTTATCCAATTTTAGATATACAAATAAATCCAGTCTACAACTTGGAGAAACCTGTTAACTACGTGAATCAAGCGGAGTTCATAGCTCGTTTTAATGAGACGTATAAAAAAAGGACAAAGAATCTTCGAAATTCTGAACTACCAATGGAAACTGCGCCTTCTTTACCTACGTCTGAAAAGGAAAATGTAAGTACCTTCATGTGGGTGCAGAATGTCATGTGCGAGTTTGTTTTATGTTAACGCGATTAACACAATGAATTATTCAATTGGCTAGTTTCCTAGGTTTAAAATAAAGCTTTTCAATGCTATAAATAATCAAAAAATAATCACACTCTCATCCATTGATTTGACAACTTACCTACTTTTGAATTTTTTCTCGTTAATTTTAACCAAATAAGTATGCTATTTGACGCAGAAATATGATGACGTCATAAGTTGCGATCCAATACAAAATTCATAGAAAAGTATCGTTTTTGACATTTCAAGAAACGTATTGAATTTGATTACCTGTCAACTACCGTATTCGAAATAGTAGTTTCATGTAGTATTGCCGTTGAACACCCCATATGAAAGAAACATAGAAAGAAAAACAGTTTATTAGCACTGTTACAGAAATTAAATAAAAAAACAAGTAAATTAGAACAGAATAATGTACACAGTGCAAATAGGCCAGTGCTCAGCTAAAATGCCGTGACCTGAGAGCGATTGCTCGAGTCATACCATAGTGTACACTAAATCTGTTCAGATAAATAAAAGCGGAGTGTTTGTTTTTCATATTAAAATAATCGCTTTTTACTTAATACATATGAATATACATAAGACACACATACCAAAATAACATTTTTAAAATTTTTTGTCTGTTTGTATTTACTAATCTCTGGAATGGCTGGACCGATTTTGTAAGACTTTTATTGGCATGTAGCTGGCGTACTAAAGAGTAACATAGGCTACTTTTATATTGGAAAATTAAAACAATTAAAAGTTATGTTCTAAAATTCATATTCTACGCGGATGAAATCCCTTAATCTTAACCCTTTGAGTACCGTCATTATAGACACAATTAAAGAACAATAAGGGTGCGAACACCGGTGTCCTCGCGGTGTTTGACAGTTTAAGTAGATATTGTAATGTAATCCATTTCTTTTACAGGACAATACAAAGTCTGAACCCCAACCAATGGACGAATTAGCCCCAACAGAAAAGAGTGCATCTGAATGTGAATCTAATATGGAGTAAGAATAAGAACCAAAAAGGTTTGTGTTAAGTTTATTGAAATGTGTTTCAAGCTATTCTTTAGATTTTCCTAAAGGAGTCTCGAGTGTTAAGTAGATGTACTAGTCTTTAAGTATATGATATGTGTTGTGAGGGAGTGTTAGGGGCGAATTTACTGTGTGGTTTTTGACGAACGATCACATAATGCACTACCCAAAGGATGACTGGCAGAGAATGCTGTTAGCATTAAGTCCTCCTTATGCATTTGTATTGTATACAACTTAAATAAAATAAAAAATAAATAAAATAAATAATGGTGTTTTAAAAATATCATTAAACTAGCTTCTGCCTGCGGTTTCGCCCGCGTTCTCGTGGGATGAAAAAGTAGCCTATGTTTTATTCCGGACCATAATAAGTTACAAACATACACACAAACTTTCGTATCTATAATATTAGTAAGATGTCAAAATTGTCTCTTTATTGAAGAATGCCAGGCTGATAGCCTGATAGGCTGATACCCAGCTTGCAATTATTATATTATGTTTTTGTTTAGTATATTTTGGTATAGAAATCTTTGATATCAAATAGAAGTCCCTATTATAATCTTAAGACGGGGCACAACACAATAGCCATGGAGATCTAAAACTACACTAGCGCCAATAGTCTACATTTCAAAAAAATAAAATTAATTATAGTTCTTGTTTATTACACTGAACTGTTTATTTATGTACACACATACAACACAAAGGACAACACATATAAAAAAACAAAGTACATAGGTCCCACATATTCCAATTGAAATTTCTTCCTGTGTGCCTGTGGCAGGAAAATAAATAATGACATAATGTTTATTTAGAAATCTCACTGTAAATTCGTCTCTTTTAAAGTGTTTTGTACTATTTTGTACTCTTTGTGAGTATGATAGTGCGAAATTCAAGTACCTAAGGTGTGAATGGAATAACTTTGTGTTATTGCATATGGCTGTTATTTAATTGGTGATATATTTTTAAGTAGACATAAATTTATGTTAAATGTTTTTTTAATTAAAACCACCTGTTGTTTATTATATTGCTGCTGTATAAGTTACATAGATAGCTACTACTGTTTTTTCGTTATTCAGTTCTTTCTTTGTTCCTATTATCGCTTAAGATTCGTTATTATAATGAGTGAGGATTAATTACATTTATAGGATCAATTTATCTTTTTAATAATAACTATCGTGAGACATACTGAATTAACTAAAAATCGCGGGTTACCCACGTAAATATACTGAGAAAAGCTCTACTAGTTTCGTGCCGCAAAGGGGCTCTTCTTCATAAGCAGCGTGCGCGATGGCGGCGATGTCTTGAGTCTATGTGTCTAGAGGCGATGTCTAGATGTTTAGAGTAGGCTGCGTGAGTATATGCACGTGAGTAACCCGCGATGTATGGTTAATTTAAGATCAATTTAACTTAAAAAAAAGTATTAATGGACTGGAACAGTCAACTGCTTAACTCTAGGCTTCCTTTATATAAGAGAGGATTGTCATAATCTCCAATAATAAGCTTACATTGATTATAAGGCGCAAACGTGAATGAACTTAGGGCTGATTTCCCAACGCCAGTTAAATTTTATTGGACAATTAATTTTGAATATTGACAATAGGGTAGGTGACCAATTTTTAATTTAATGTCCGTCTAGTAGATTATTTTAAAACATTAGACACGTATTTTTTATTTCCTTACAGATACAAATACTTTCGACGATATATTGATTTGAAATGTCGCGTGTTTCTACGTATTACAACTACATAGAAGCGTCACTTCTTAGTTCTTAGTTTTTATACGTAGAAATGACGTTTTTACTCCCACTCCTAAACTTTGGTCCGTTTTATCTAAGTAATGTTTTTTATACGACAAAATAAAAAATACGTGTCTAATATTTTTTCATTACCTAACTGACGGAATAATTAGATTTTTAATTTTCATACCCTGTCATCATCCCTATTATTCCATACGGTATAAAACGGTCATGTGTCAATTTTATTCAACAGTTATGTATCAACTGTTGATTGAAAAATGGTCCATAATGTAATTACTCTGTTCCTGTGTGACATAATATTGACGAGGTAGCTAACTACATAGATATGAAATAGTAAGAAGAGTAAGGCTATGGTAATGTTATATCTAAGATATTATACTCAAAAATTCAACTTTGTAATTAACGATTGTAGTGCCACCTACAGGAGACAATAGAATTAAATAGAAAATATAACTCGTGTACATCTTTTCCACACCAAATTAACTGATTGACATTTTATTTATGATGTTGAGTGGCGCTACCATCGAATTTTGTGAATCTTGTATTCTGTAATTCTTAATAACCGTCATCGCAAGGCACAAATATTGAAATAAAACTCGCATATTTCTAGAGTCAGCATCGGAATTAAATCTAGCTTTCGAATGTAGGAATGTAGGAACTATCTATCTATTTACACTTCTTGAAAATTGTATACAATGGCGGACTTAATGCCTAGTGGCCTTCTCTAATAGTCAACCTTATATTACCCATAGGAATAACCCATAAGTAGTATTCATTAATTAAGTAAGTAAGTCATTTATTTGTAGTTACTTCGTATTAGATATGTCATTGATTTGTTTTTATACAAATATCTCTGAAAGAAGACTTGAAATTATTATACTCAATGTATAATTTGTAAGTTTATACTTTATGCTGGCAATAAACATATAAACAGGAAAGTGACTTTTATTTTTGTACTAGCTTTTACTCGCGCCTTCGCTCGCGTCACAAAAGGATAAAAAGTAGTGTCCGACCGAAGGTGCATTTTTGGCCGAAGCCGAAGGTTTATATTTTCTCAGCACTCAGTCAATTATTTTGTTCAATATTGTCTACAATGTAGCTTGTAGACAATATTGAACAAAGAGAATTAATTTGAGGTTTTGAAATAATTTTAATATTAATTGTAATTAATATTAAAAGGTTTTGAAATAACTTTAATATTAATTACAATTATTATATTAATATTAAAATTATTTTAAAACCTCAATATTGAAGGTTTATATTGACTGTCCTATAAAGAAGTTTATGATATATCAAAGAGATGGTTGGTTTAGAGATTAATAAAAGTTTGTGATTTACCTACTGGTAAAAGTAATCATTTCTTTATTATGAATAATTTCACAAATTACAATTAGTTCAATTGTTCGTTTAATCTCGGCAGTCGCTCGGACCTTCGGCGAAACCTTCGGCTTCGGCCGGGCTTTGGGCCGAAGCCGAATGTTTTGCCGAAGGTGGACTTTTTGGCCGAAGGTGGCCGAAGCCGAAGCCGAAGCCGAAGCTTCGGTCGGACACTAATAAAAAGTAGCCTATGTGACATATACCTACATATACACACAGCGCCATCTATATCAATAATTTCGTTTTCCCTCGAGAATATCAAGTTTTCCGGGATAAAAAGTACCCTATTATTTAATCCAGACTTCTAAAATCACGTCTGCAAAAATTCACGGCAATCGGTTTAGTAGTTACGGCGCGAAAGTGGAACAAACAAACAAACTCACTTTCCGATTTATAATATTATATAGTAAGGATGGTAGACAAACCAGTTGAACTGTATGTGTGTGAGGTTACTGAAGACCCAACTGTTCTCCCAAAGGCTAGCAAGGCAGTTGAATATACGGCTACACATCAAACTTTACATAATCAGTATAAACTGAACGTTAAATGTGCGGAAAGATGATGCGACGCGACACCAGGATAAACTGGTTTTGTATAGATTGATGTGTGGCCGTGTGTACCTTCTCAAGAGTAAGATTGCGGCGCTCATGATTGGTCGGCTCTAATGAACTAACCAATCAGAGGCGCCGAACGCGGTTTCGTTTCGATTACTTTAAAGGTAAAACAAACTCGTACTAAGGCCTCAGATGTATTGTCGCGCGTTTAGACGAAATTTTTCATATAAAATTATATTCAGGCCGGTACTAGCAATCATGCCTTTTTTATGGCATAAGCCGGTAAACGAGCAGACGGATCACCTGATGGTAAGCAATCGGCGTCGCCCATGGACACCTGGAACACCAGAGGCGTTACAAGTACGTTACCGGCTTTTTGGGGAGTAGGCAGAGTACACATTACGGCACTTAATGTAACACCAACTTTTCACTATTTATGTTATGAGTCCCATGTAATAGGGGGTGAGCCTAATGCCATATACCGGACACAGTTCCAGACTCCGTGCAGCTGCTGATATTTTTTTTTAACACCTAGTAGTACTTTGCCCGACCCGGAAATCGAACCCAAGGTGTTTTCATGGTTGTATCTTCTGTAGGTCTTGGCTTACAGGAGTTGCAGGGGATTTAGGAGGTTGTTGCGGTCTTGTCCCTATATAAAAAGCTCTTTACTACTACTATTATAAACTATTCCTACATTGTGGAAGGAAGGTAGGGAGGCCTTTGTCCTTGAAGTGGGACGACCATGGCTAAAAATAAATAAATAAAAAAAATGTCAAGTAAAAGGTATTAAGCAAAATTCCCACATAGTTACTGAAGCAAAAAGCGAATTCATCTAAATAATTAAGTGCCTATATTTCAGACAGCGAGGAAGAGTAATAAAATCCGAAACGATTGTTTGTAAACCGTAAAGCGATGTCCTTGAGCACGAAGCTATGAATTTAGGAATGGCTATATTAATTAATATTACTTACCTAATAATAATATCGTCAGTGAGACGGTTATTTCGGATTACAGGTACTTACTTACATAGGTACCTATATGGAGTTTTGTATCTACTGAAAAGGTTTACAGGAGTGTATTCCGCCGCGCCATTCGTGCCTTAGAAAAAGTGATATCTACTATGTAGGTAAGTATTTTGTCTCGGTCTTTTTTTTTAAGGGGAGAAAATCATCGAATGACTGCTCCCGCCTGGGTGAGGCGGGAGGGAGTGTCAGGCTCTTACTGACTAAAAACCATACCATTCCTTCTCCTGCACGTCGAGCCGGAGCCCCGGTAACCCGTTAGGTTCTCCGC